GTTGAAGTATGATCAAATCATTATTAAAGAATGCATATTAATGAAAAATGAGGATCAAACAAGGGCTATATGTAATAATATCTATCTTTAGGCTATGGAGAGACGAGATGTTAGTAGTCAGTATAAGGGCATACATTTATGACTTTTCTACATAAACTCGAATTGGTGGATTGGTGAATAATGAAATTAAGTTTAAATCACATGAGCAATGTTTGGAAATAGTTATTTATCTTGTCCATTTAATCAATCACGGCTTTGCAAGAATAATTCCATTTTTTGATATGCAAATGGATGCTAAGTAAAATTAGATTTTAGTTGATGATGAAATATGTGGTTTAAAAATTGTGGAGCCTATAAAATATGCAATTATAATTAATTGTTGACTTTAAATTAACTTTTTTTTTTTTAAGTTAAAACAAATAGGGGAAATTATTATTATTCTTGCATCTTTACAACATCAAAATTTGTTAGATATTACAATTATTTTTATAATATATAGTTTTGTATTTGGTTTAATGACTTGATTTACTAACGTGATGTTTTTGAAAGAATACAGGATCTATTTATCTTTTGTTATGCACTTCGCTAAATTTTATTTAAGACTTGAAGTTATCATCAAAATTCTAAAAGGTGCGTTAATCCTCTTTCATCATTTATCATCTCTAGATAATTTCATTGATGTAGGACATAAGGAGTATATTAGAAAAAGAGTACTAGTAAAAATAAATTATCTTGGTTCCGGATCGGTCCCATAAGACCATTTTGGAAGGAGAACGACAAGGGGAACAATACTCACTGCTATGCCATGATGTACATTGAATTTCGGCCGTTCGAGTTCGTTTAGGCCTCGCAAACTGATTTTTAAAGTTTTAGCGCTATTTTTGTCAATTCATTTATTTTCGTTTTTTTACAATTCTAATTTGATTAAACTTCTTTTTTATTACTTTTAGTTGTTCTAAACTACGTTTCCATGTAAACCCTCATAAATAAGGGTTTAGCTCTTTTTTTTTAATTATGTTTTCATTAATAAATTAGTGAGTTTATTTTCTTTACTATTTGGTGGATTCCAAATTACTTGTTCATAAAGTTTTTGCTTCAATTCCTTTCTTTTGTTGTGTCATTCATGGACTTGTTTGGAAGATATGCTTTTGACATGGATATAATCTCAAAATGACAGGCCACTCAAGAACCTGCAAAATGTTAGAAATGCAACAAACACTGAATACTAGAAAAGCACGCTACGAAGAATAATGCTAACTATTAACCATGGTGATCATCACAAGTTTAGGTGGTAGTGGTTCCTTATTCATTATCCAATTGAAAATGATGCATTTTATACATTGGTGATAATAACATGAAGAATTTTAGGCCCTTATTGAAAACTAGACTTGGTCATTCGTTCCCCTACCGCCTAGAAGATACGCAGTAGGCTGTATCTTGGTTTTAAAAGTTAATATGAACCCCAATGGCATGATCCGGAAGTCAAAGGTTTGCACCAAACGGCTGGATTATATTTCAACCGAACTTTTAGCCCAGTAGTTAAACCTATAACTATAGTATTTCCTAACAATTACTTTAATGAGAGGCTGGTCTATACATGAACTTGGCGTGAACAATGCATTCTTAAATGACATCCTACAGGTGGAGGCCCTTATGGTACAGCCACCAGGTTTTAAGGACACTAAGCAGTTACATTGTTCTGCAAGTTACACACAGCTTTGAATGGCTTGAAACAAGCTCCATGTTTCTGGTCACATCATTTAATATCTGCTTAATTAGATCAGTCCATTTTTTTAGATTGACCAAAACTTACAGCACCAGTGGTGATGAACACATTAATTGACATTGTTGCTGATCTTATCAGGAAGTAGAAAACTGAATTTGATTTAAATGACTTGGGCCTAGTCAATATCCTTGAAATTCAAATCAAGAACTCCAGGTGAAAGTGTCCAATTTCAAATTAAATTCATATTAGACCTGCTTTGTAAAGCAAAAATGCAGTATGCTAAGACCCTAAAACTTCCATGACTTGTGGCCTTCTATCAGGTTTGATTGAAATATGCTATTTTGGTGGTGGGTAATCCTGGCTGTAGTTGGTGTATCATAAACGAGGTTCGTGTCACAAATGACCTACAAAGAAAAAGAATCCTAGAACAAAATGAGAGGTAGCTAACCGACTTTCACTGGCTTTGGTAATAATCCGGCGAAAGACTCTCACTTATATTAAATGTCAATAGTTAAGGCATTATTGTATGTGACAATTACACGACGAGAAATCACCTACACTGTTAATCAATTTTATCTATATATCCAACATCCCCTGCAGACTCATTGGAAAACATTAAAGAGAATCCTGTATTATCAACCCCCGTTTGGTTGGGATTTAAATCTAAATTGCAATTTAAGTAAAAGTTAACAATTAATTTTAACCACATATTCCATGGGATCCACAAATTTCAACCGCATATTTTATTAACTTTAAATAATAATAATAATAATAATAAATCTGACTTTTTGATCCCACCAAATAGTGGCTTAGTAAGGAACACCGGAATGCGGACTGCACTTAACCTCCAAAAAAGGCACATAAGAATTCCCAATCTTTAATTTGGTTGCATCTCAGATGTTATCGTTATTTTTTAATTAACAAGCCAAAATTTAATTAAAAAGACGATTTTACCATCATGTCTGAATAAAGATATACATTTTAAAGTTTAGAGTCGAATTGCAAGCATACCTATGAGTCGGTGATGAATCAGATTATCTATTTTAAATGTAAAATAAAAAAGAGACAATAGTAATTTTTATAATCCAACGACTTAAATAATTATAAAATCATAAAAAGACAGTAGCAGTTTCTCTATTTCATATATATTTATTGTTTATTGTAATAAAGACATTAGTAGTTCATCATCGTAGTTAATATATCAAACTATCTCGCTAACGTAAATAGCAATTAGTCAAACTTGGTTTTGCTTTTCTAGCAATAAAGTCCTCAAATGAGAAAATTATTTATAAGTTTGCTTATATTTTATATGGATATATATATCATAAAATAAGCTATATCATCTTGAATCCAGGGTCTTTATTTGCCTTCACTAGCATATATACACCAATTCATAAGAACCAAGAGAATCATCCAGACATACTTTTCCAACCTCAATTTTCTCTCTTTCTCGGTCCCATGCACGTATTATATTATCCCATTTATTATGAGTTCTCACACTACCTTTTAAATTATCCCAAGTTTGCATAATCTCCTTTTAAGTTCATATATAACACAAGCAACTGTTCGATATTTTGAGTTTACAAGACATGCTTTCCTTAAGGAGATGACGTAAAATTATTAGATTCAAGCTACTAGTAGCCTTAGTTTGGTTTAGATTACCAAAAAACAAAAAACAAAAAAACAAAAAAACAAAACAAAACAAAACAAAAAAACAAAACAAAAATTCTTACTCAAATTCAACAATTAATTTTAACCACAATGTTTTCATACAGCTTGGTAACAACTTTTCAAGTGCACATTTCATCAACTTTTACAAAATCTACTAAAAACCTAATTCTTAGCAAAGACAAACAGGAAGTTTAAGTTATATTGTATTAACGTGTTTAATGTACGATATATTTTTTAATACAGAGGGTGTTTGGGAGACATTTTTACGTAAGAATGCATTTTTGAATAGTAAATTGATGGAAAATGTGTGATTGAAAAATAAGGAAAAGTTTTTTATTTACGCTTTATATTATTTTAATAAATAACATGTAGTTAATATAAAAAGAGAGAAAAATGCATTTTGAAAAAAATGGGTACCAAACGAGGGCATAATAAGAAACAACGTTCACATTTCTTTTCTTAACTCTTGCATCCGATGGTAATTATTTTTAAGGATAGGAAATACATAAGATCCAGCATTCATGTTCCAGGCAAATTTTAGCACGGGTCTTAAGTCAAAATTAATTCTGATTTTTTTAATTAAATTATGTGTGTTAAGTGGGAAATTTCCTAACCAATTTGTTATTTGTCAACTGGAGATAGTGTTAATAATATGAAACCAGAAGAATAAAATGTCAAAATGACAATGTCAAATATTCGAGAAGATCATGCTTCTCAACTATTTGAAAGACCAATTTATACACGCTTTCACATTATGTTTTTATACCAAGTCATTGTCACATATGGTGACTTATTGTCCATTCATATGTTAAATTAGTAGGATTTATGGACACTAATCCTCCACAACCTGCCTAAAGAGTCGAATAGAATGGTCCAAACATTATCTCCATAATAAATACCTAAAAAAAAAAAAAAATCTTTATCGAACAATGCTTTTTCCCTCTTTTAAATGTCTAAGTTTAAGAAGTTGATCGAGAATCATTTATGACATATTTGGTACCTTAAATTAAATTGCGTATATATCTTTTACTTGATCAGGTCTACTTTTATCTTTTATTATACGTACATTTATATACCGTCGTCACTATTGCTAGCCTAGAAGCAGCCAATGAAGGGGCCGAGTCGAGGCACACGCAGTTGGCCAAATTATTTTTTTTAGTGAATATTACATTTCACTCAACAATTACGAGCCGACAATTGACTCGCACGAGATTTTATCCGCTCAACTTGCATCCCACCTCGCCTCTGAGCCGGCGAACAACTCGCCACCACTTAAGAATTCTACTCCACGGATGGATAACGCACTGTCTGAAAATTATTTAGGCACTGTGGTTTGACCAAGTCATATCTAATTAATGGGACGACTTTCTAAAGTGGTGACCTTTTACTATTCAAAGCAATGATATACTTTTCAATTTTCAGTGGTTCTGTTCAGCTGCAATATTGACAATTATTCAAAATTGGAAGCGCCGCAGAATCCAATCACAGGTTCTGTGGATAAACACTACCATCCAAAACAGCACAAAAACATTGTAATGATTGTGTAACATTTGACAAAGTCAGACCAATTTTTTCTCTATATATCTGTAAAGAATCCAAAGTGCATATTAGCAAAAATAATACAATGGCAGCAGGCTTAAAAACTTACAATCTTTGCGCCTATTTGATCTTGAGTCTCACAGCATGTTCTGTGATGGCCTCTTCGTCCTCGTCTCAATCAATCAAAGGCGCCTACTGGCCTTCATGGGCGAAGAATTTTCCTCCATCTTCCATTGAGACGTCGTTTTTCACACACATATACTATGCATTTCTCATTCCTAACAATGTAACATTTAAGTTTGACATAGAATACGCTACAGAGGTGGAGCTAGTGAATTTCACGTCCACTCTTCATGCAAAGAAGCCACCTGTGAAGACACTCTTCTCCATTGGTGGGGCAGACGAAGGTCCAGTTTTCTTTGGACGAATGGCCTCGAGTCCTTCATTGCGTAAGAATTTCGTCGATTCAAGCATAGAAGTGGCGAGAAAATTCGGTTTTGATGGGATTGATCTCGATTGGGAATTTCCTCAAACGCCTAAGGACATGGAAAACTTGGCCTATTTACTTGACGAATGGCGCCTGGAGGTCCAGAAGGAAGCCAAAATCAGCAACCAGCCACCGCTCCTCCTCACTGCCGCCGTCTATTTCTCAGCCAACTTCTTCCTTTCAGGGACCTACAGATCATATCCTGCAACCTCCATCACCAAAAACTTAGACTGGATCAACGTAATGAATTATGACTACCATGGCTCTTGGGATACTTCCACCACAGGCGCCCAAGCTGCACTATTCGACTCCAAAACCAACATAAGCACAAGTTACGGCCTGGGTTCATGGATCAAGTCAGGCGTCCCAAAGAGCAAATTGGTCATGGGTTTGCCCTTATACGGAAGAACATGGAAGCTTAAGGACCCCAAATCACACGGTGTAGGAGCACCGGCCATTGACGTAGGACCTGGTGATCAGGGAGCATTAACATTCGCTGAAATAGTAAAATTTAACAGAGATCATAAGGCCAAAGTGGAGTATGATGCGGAGAGTGTATCCATGTATTCAGTGGCTGATACTACCTGAATTTTTTTTGTTTGGTGAAAAAAAAAAAAAAAAAAAGAAAAAAAAAGAAGAAGAGAGAGAGAAACAAGATTAATGAACTATTGCATCAAAGCTTTGTTGTTTCTTAGCAACAACTTCCCTTTACCTCTCATCTTGCACAATTAGACTAAAGACTTTATTAAGTAAAGGTATTGGATCCATAAATAATATCTGACTTCTCACACTTGAAAATTGTTCATCTAAACCCATCAGAAATTGCATAGTCTGATCTTCAGACTTGTAATTGGTACTACTAGTTTCTGGTCTATAATTTTCCAACTCTTCCCAAAGCCCTTTGAATCAATTAAAATAGGAGTTGATAGAGTTATTTGCTTGAGAAACTGAGGCAATTTGTTTCTTGAGTTCATAGATGCGAGGGCCATTGCCTTGACTTCAGCAATCCCTGAGTTCAATCCATATGTGTCGTGCTGAATCTTTGTGCATCACGCTGGGATATAGTTCTTCAGGAATTGAGTTGATAATCCATGAAGAGACTACATGATTGCATCTCCTCCAAGCAATGTAAAGAGGATCATCCAGAGAAGGTTTGACAATAGATCCGTCAATGAATCCTTCTCTATTTTTCACATTGAGTGCCATAATCACAGCTCTACTCCACGTAGCATAATTTTCTTCAGTGAGTACAACAGAAATGAGTTGCATTCATGTATTGTCCCCCATAATGAAGATAATACGGACTACTAGGATCACTAATCAGTCTATCCACATTAGATACCATATCTCCAATCACCGTTTCTACAACAAATGAATCAATTGATGAATTAGTTTGACTCATCTGGTTTTGAGTCTCTGTTCGAGCACCAGAATCCTTCGCCATCGCAAAGAAGCCTCAAAGCTCTGATACCATGAAGAGTTGAGAATGGAGAATTCTAGATATGAGAAATGAGGAGAATGGCGGGAAAATTTGTAGTATTCCACTGAATAATGAAGTGAATGTCAAATACAAACCACAGACTCCATTACTTGTATTCTTTTCTTGCATATTTTGTCTTTCTATTTACTTATAAATAGATGTAAAAAATCGAACTCTTTAATTGCTTCAACAGCATTTCACAATCTCTTATAAAAAAATTTCTCCCTTTCTTTCTCTAGAAACATGACGGCTAGCCAGAGAATGAAAATTTGCGTTACACAGATTCTAACAAATTGCAATGATGATTGGTTGAAACGGCACAATAGCAATGGTGACGTCAACAATGAGGTTGCATCCACACTAGAAAAATTGTATGACTATATATCATATAGTACTGTAAAATTTATTATATATATATATATATATATATATA